CCCATATCAAAAAGGTACAAAGAATTCAAGAAAATCTGTGTTTCCTGTGCTTTATTCGTAAAATGTTCTTCTGAGGGACGTTTACGTGTATCCGCTGTCAAACCGAACACTTGCAACTGCTGAATTACGTACAGAAAGCTACTGGTGTGATGGCGTAATGTAATTTATTAGTCCTTACAGCACGGCCTCCAGATGGCGGAGGGCGGACCGAGATAAAAGACCTACTAACACACATTGGAAGCTCCCCTCTACATCGCAACAAGACTGCAAAGTTCCGTAGTTGCCATGACATTGGACACAGAAGACCAACCCATTATTATTATTATTATTTTCCAAGAAATATATCGTGTGATGTTCCACAGAATACGACACTCGCTACCGTCACAGATGACAGAAAGCTAGACTGTTCTGTGATACCAACTGCGAGCTGGAAGCAATTGTTATTCTGTGAGTTTTATGTATAGTACATGCGGCCATGTTTCTTTTTTGTTTTTTAACTGAAAGTTAGGTTAGGTTATTTTCTTACGTTTTTAAATCGTGTTACGTGTTATTCTATTTTTATTTTTAAAACTTTGCTGTACTCGGCCTTGTTTGGCTGCGGAACTGAACACACAGTCAGCCGAATACAGTTATTATTAATGCATTAAATAGAGCAGAAACATCAGGGAATTAGAGCTTCGGTACTGGTCTCACCTTTCCGTGCTAAACCACGTCGTTTCGTAAACAAATAGCTTTGTAACCGAGACATAGTGACGATACCATAAATCACTTTGAACAAGTACCACTATTGACTGTAAAATTAATTCTAATACTGTATAGTTTATAAGGTAGTATATTTGCGTCATATTGTGAATTAGGTTAATATTTTAATATTTTCCGTCAAATCACAATTTTAATAAGATAATAAAATATAAAATATTTAAAATATCATTTCACGTTCCACATCGAATGATCGATTTACAAATTGGAACGTCTCTTACGACATGTTTCGGTTATATTAAACCGTCCTCAGGTATAAATTAGATTGTTAATTAAAAAACTCGAATTACAATCTTTACAATGTTATGCAGTTTATTGAAAATGTTCTTATCAGATTACTCTTATATATTAGAACGAAGGTATTGTTTTTTATATATGGCGTGGTTCATCTGATGTTCAATATTAGTCTGTAAAGCAATGATTTAAATAAATAAAACATTAATAAATATGGAGTAATATAGAAAACAAAATGATGGAAGTAAATAAATAGTATCTTATTATTAAAAATTGTGATTTGATGGAAAATATTAAAATATTAACTGTATAGTTTATGAGATTTTCTTGTAAATAACAAGTTTAAAACCCAATTTTTATTGACATCCAACACGCAGAATAAATAAAAATATATATATAACGCTACCTTTTGAAACGCTCGCAGCACGTCGTAGGTTAACTAGTCGCTACGACGACACGTATGCATACCTGCAACACACAATACAAGGAGTGTCAGAATATCACAATTCACGTTTGGTCCATATGTAAACGACAGTCATTACAAGGCGTTAGGAATCTCAAGGCAGACATGGGACGACATTGACATTCGACGACGCCAAATCAAATACATCTTATTCGTAACGAGTACAATTCGAAACCTTTTTCACAAGGAAAATGTATTCCGGGTGCGTTTTACAGGAAAGCAACGAGATATGAGACGGACTGGTAGATATAGACGTAGATGGAAAGGTATTAAAATGGATCTTTATGAAAGAGATTGTGAGAGAGTGGACCACTCCTCTTAATTTCTTCGTGAATAGACACCACGGTACGGACTGTGTCAACCTCTACAGGCCACAAATTGCAACACTTACTCTCTCCTTAGCTACAGTTTCGTTTATATAACACGTGATTTTTCTTTACTGTTGGAATAAAGTCCGCTCTTCGATCCTAACAACGGGTTTACTCGTGTTTTGGTGCAAAATTTCTCGCATGTGTACGTATAAAGTAAATGAAGTTCCCAATTACTTACAGCGAAGAGAATAAGAACTGTGCGCGCTCTTAAGACAAAGAACTGTAGCATTAATAAATATTTTTCCATTGTTCGATAGTTATCGATCGATGTTTGGCGCTGAAAAGGTGGATCGATTTTTATACAGGCCCACTTACCGACTTGTCTTCAATCGAAGTTTTTAAAAGAACTTAAGAAACTGTACAGGATCGAAAAATGACCTCCAAACTAGGGCATCTTACAACGTGAGAATCCGTTGCAGAAAGCTGTGTCTGTAAAACTCGAATTAGCAACGTGGAAGAACCACTCTCCATTATATAGTGGTTCTTCCACGTTGTTAATTCGAGTTTTGTTAGACACAAAAAGTTTGTGCTGCCGCCAACAGATGGCACCACATCCTACTGCACAGTCTGCTCATCTTCAAACAACATTTATTTAACTCGAACGTCTCACGGCGTAAAATCAATGCACTGGGTCTACCGCATGGAGAGACTAAAATGCCGAAAGGCTATTGGCGCAGGCGCGTGTATGGGACCTGCGTGGTAGAGACACGCTAAAACCCACTTCCTGCTTTACTTTCAGTCCGTGTGTCCGACGTGACCCAACCATCTGTCTTTCTCTGATTAAAGAAATGTGATTAAACATTAAGATTCTCGTCAAAGTCTTCCGTTTAACTCGAAAAAGATACATTAAAATAAAAATTTCTTTCAGATAAAGACTGATATAATCCCGTGAGCTATACGTGGTGTTTGTTCGCTAGATGGCAGCAGGCTACATGATCTACTAACAGAATCAGGGCTCACAAAATAAGACACGAACAAAATATAATCTTTGCTAAGATACACTCCAGTTCAATTTCCTAGCAAAGAACGCCTGTCAGGACACTACGAACTTGTGATAATGTAACAAACCTAAACGCCATGTTTATTCTTTATACCCCGAAGCTCGTGACCATAACTGTACACGTGTAGTTGCATATTACAATGCTACGTGCTGTATGATCAATCCCCTGCTACCGATATCAGTTAAGGTTTTTGGTTTCATTATATCCTCCGTTCTTTTCCTTTCTAAATTCCTCATTTTGAGTTGTCATGAGCATTATTTACGTGTAAACAGGGAATAATGTAGACGTGGCGTAACATGTAAGGTGCTGCGCCCTACCAAATACTTTGGAACCACGAGCAGCAGGCGAGCGAGCAGTTCCATGATCCAACAGCCTTTTTCAGCTTCAGAACATGAAACTAGGTGGCACATGAGGCAAGGCGAGATTACGTAACGAAAACAATTTCACTTTGATGGTTTTGGCGTCTTTCATTAGGCAACTGCCTGACATTTACATCTTCTTGGTGAAGTATCATTTTAATTATTATGAGCAATGCTAAACGGAAAAGTGTGTGGTGAAATGATAGTTTATTACGTAAGTGAAGGGCTAATATGCGACAGGATCACGAGATAAAATTATCTTCGACGCAGGATGAAACTTTTATCGGCTGAGCTGAAGACACGACTGGTTTGGATTATCACTTTCAGAGTCTACCAAAAAAAAAAAAAAAAAAAAAAAAAAAAAAAAAAAAAAAAAAAAAAAAAAAAAAAAAAAAAAAAAAAAAAAAAAAAAAAAAAAAAAAAAAAAAAAAAAAAAAAAAAAAAAAAAAAAAAAAAAAAAAAAAAAAAAAAAAAAAAAAAAAAAAAAAAAAAAAAAAAAAAAAAAAAAAAAAAAAAAAAAAAAAAAAAAAAAAAAAAAAAAAAAAAAAAAAAAAAAAAAAAAAAAAAAAAAAAAAAAAAAAAAAAAAAAAACACACACCTCAGCTACAATCAGACTCGTCTAACAAATTATCAGATTTTTATTTTTAAAAACCTAACGTTCGTTACCGCGTTTACAACACACTTATTTAACGTCCATTTAAATATCTTCCCATCTACGTCTTGGTCTGTCAAGTGACTCTTTCCTTCCATGTTTTCCGAATAAAATGCATAATTCAAAACAGACATCCCAGCCCACAGTTGCCTGATCCTCATTATCTAACTTTCCTCAGTTCAGTCCTGAAGATGTAAGTTGTATATTCCTCCGAAACCTTACGCGAGAACCCACAGACCTCGGCCCGCACTTCAAACCTTTCACGGAAACAGCAGGGGTGGCCAAACACCCGCGACACAGCCATTTAAAAAATCCCTGGCTGTGTTATAACCGTAGCGCGGATTCAGTAAGAGACTTAACGTTCATGTTACTTAAGTCTGATTCGGCACGTGATGGCCTTCGTTTTGTGTCCAAATTCTAAACGCCGATTCTAAATCAGTAAGAAATTCTTGAAGCGGACGCTCTCAGTTGTAAAGCCTCTATTCCAGGTGTGGGACGTCATCATACTGCCCTGAGTCCCCGGAAATTACATTGGTTTTAACTACACTTGTTCTAAGGATGATATTATAATGTTTCGTCCGAAAATATCACGGATTACAAGTTTCAGACACTGGATATTCTACGACAAGGATGTTACAAGCGATAATCTTGTATCAGTAAAAGTACAATGGCGCTGTTGTCGGTGTGGGACACCGTCATCTGTCTCTCTCTATCGCCTGCCAAGCGAAGTAGTGTCACCGAACACAGGCAGCCAGCCTTTCCGTCCAGAAAGTGTGTCAGTCAGAACGTACACCACCGAGCAACAAAGAATGCATTCTTCCACAGACATTCAGCTTTTGTTCAGGCGTCCACAGGAAGCAACCAAATATCTTGCTCTACAAGATTAGAAAATGCACAAGACTTACAAGAAAAACAATTTGTAGTCTACAGATAAAGTTTCCTTGCGCGTATGCACCATACTAGTATGACGTCATAACCAGCTGACGAAAAGAGCATCGCTGAGGTAGAGTAGCCACCTGGTGATTGAAATCGAAACCACATCATCCGTCCTTACAGCAAGTCAATTTACCGACTGAGTTGCGCGTTTGAAACACAATTTCGGGTTTACGAAAACTCAAACGTTGCCTAGTTAAAATATTACCGCCATTTTATATTCGAATATGCTCCGGGTATAAACACGCGAGAGAAAAAAAAACGTAAGTTTTAAATGTCCGAATAATGAAATACGAAATCTTCACAGATTAAGAAATAAATTGAATTGTAAAGAATTGTACCACCGTTTTTGTCTGAGGGAAATTTTGAATCCCACGAATGCATTACTTCAATCTTGAATTTCTGGAAGAAAAAAAAAAATTCCTCTGCGAGGCTTGGGTTACTTATCACGTGTTAGGTCTCAGTCAACTTCTTCGAAGAAATATAAGAGCCTTAACCTTGCACACTTTTCACAAGATCTGCATTTCATTGTGTTCAGACACGAATTGGCAGTGTCATATATCCTCCATCATCATCTCTGTTACGACGCCTTTTTCAAGATATATCTCGTAGCTTGTGGAATGGATCTGTAACAAAGTGCTCTAATTTTACGTCATAGCAGTCTGATTAAGTAACGTTTCTGCTACGTCATTGTCTCTGTAATAATCTATTAAGACGTCAGAAAAGAAGGCTAAAGAATTTCAGACGCTTGGTGATATTACGACATTTGTCCGATGAACTTTTATCCTATCATAAACTTTCTAAAAATTCCGTGCTATTTCCCTGATCTTAAAATTCAATGTATAAATCCTTGGACGTAAGCGTGTAAAATATTCAATATTCTGTCGCGTACAAATGCATGATTTTCCTGATCACTGTAACCTTGATATAATATAAATTAGGATGTTCTGTAAGGACTGGTTTATGAACAAATTTTATTTCCCTTCTGTGGATAAAATACGTCTGATTAATTTTTTTTTTATAGCTTTGCTGGTTTCATAGCTTTATAACTTTTATCTGTTTACGTGTTTATACTGTGGGTTGATAAGGCACACTCGATAATTACAATTATAAATTATTATTCCCACTAAACCAATTAAGGAATTTTAAATTTTATCGTAAACAAAATCTTAAAATATCTTTCCTTCAAGATGGTGTTCAAACCTCGCAAATATTTTCAATATTTCTCATATAAACACTAACCACGGACGACAAAAGTTCTTCGCCCGTTCCTTTAAGTGTTGCTTTAATCGCTTTACTTTTTAAAATCCCTTAATGCAGGATTTATCCTTGTGACTAAACAGAACCGTGCAAGATTTAAAACTTTAGACGCGTCTAATACTAAGTTCAGAAACCGACGTTTCGGAGCTACTGTCACGGACACTGTTCACTGATGATGGAAACAGATCTAGCCTCCGAAACGTTGGTTTCTGGACTTACTGAACTGAGTTAAGTAGGATTCGACTTTTTCACGCCGGTGAGTCAGAAGATGTCTTCTCAGTTGTTACGCCGAATAGTCTGGTAGAAGTTTATCGACGTTTCAGAGGTCATTGCTGCCTCTATCATCATTGCCCTGGTGACGGAGATAGCCAAAACTGCCTGAATAATTACAGATTCAGTTCCGACCGCAAACAAAACACAACGCCTGTC